CAAACTCCCAATTGCTGGATTTTTATGGACAATTCTGATTATAGCTTATAGGATGTTATTATCTCCAGAAAGTTTCATGTGCATCTGTGAAAATCGCATTGTGATGTTCAATTAAGCACTGAATAACTTCAATAGCTCCAAAATCGACTAGCAACCCGTCGTCTAAGGGAATGGAGGACGATGCATCTATGCTCTTCTCGTCTTCTGCATGCATTGGGGAAAAAAAAATTTAATATTAGATTCTTTATATATTGCAATATAATAGTTTACTGGGCTTTCATCATTCCAGTTTCGGTTCTAGTTTTCAAACTTCATATGCAATTACTTAGTATTTCTTCCTCAGATAGGCTTTTATAAACCACTCATGTTATCTCAAACTAGAATTATGGCAAGCAGAGCAAATTGAGATTTCATCAACTTATACGGCTTGAAAATTCCATCATCACTTAACTGGGGAGCAGGTAAAAGCTTTGTTTCATTCAGAAAACTTCTGTGGCTTTTATTTTCCACTAAAATTTTCAAGTAATTAGTTTTCCACTTATATTTTTCCAACTTTGTGGCTTTTAATGAACCTAGTAATGAGTGTGTGTTGTGAGGTTTTCTACATTGGAGTCTTCAAGAAAGATGTCAACACATTTTATATATGGTTAAAAGCTATTCTACCAGATTGATTCTACCAGTTTTTGTACAGATTACTCACAATGGGGTGGATCCCACCCAATTAAAAAATGGCCAAAATAATACCACACCCACTTGCATGTGAGTGGCAGGTGGGGGTTCACCTGGTAGAATAGCACAATCCTTTATTTATTTATGTACCCTTTTAAGAAATATAAAGAGTTCATAATTGAACTTTTGTGCAGTTCCTCATCTACACCGCACAAAAGACAAGCTACTAAAACAGTACATAGCATATACAGGAATAAAGTGCTTAAACTGCAAATCACCTTTAAGCATGTCCATTTCGGTGTAGTTCAAGACAGAATCAGCATTTCTATTAGAATCAGCCTTTGGTGGATTATTCCAAAACTGTTTATAATGATCTGGTTTCTGTCCTTTCTGCCACATAATAATAGAGGCCATTTCCATGGCAAGGCTACGAGCATCCATCTGCAAAAAGCTTGCAATGCATTAGCATTTTTATCCAGTTAAAAATTAACAAATACTTCACCTGACCAAAACTTCATTAAAAAAGGGAAAAAAAAAAATAAAAAAAAAATACATGATTTACAAGTCAGTTATAGCTACTCTTGTTACCTATAATTATAAAATACATATGCAACGGAAGAACAAAAGTTGGAGAAGCAAATTTCGAAATAGATGTCCTCACAGTTAAAAAGGGCAAAAAGGTAGAAGTCCTCAGTTGAAAAGAAAAAACGGTCGGAATAGGTGGCATCTGATCATAATGCATGCTTATCCCCTCTATTGTGGATCGACATAATATAGGGTATATTGGCACACATATATTGGATTTCCTATTATTCGCTATCCAAATTAGTAATTAGGGCCTAATCCATAAAAAAAAATAACAATAATAAAATAAAAAAAA